AAAGAAATCTCTCAAAAGTTTTGTACAAAACAATTTATTTTGACTCTCGTATAAACAGAAATCGCTGCATTATCTCTTAGTGTATAATCGAAACACGCTAGATTGGAATGGAGTGTATGTGTGTGTGTTATTTCATATATATATATTTTGTAATAAATGAAAGATGAAGAATGTTTGAATAGACAGTATCTTATATATAAAGAATTATACGCGGATACATATCTATATTTATATCTGTATAATTCTTCAGTCGTGAAGTACATTATTATGGAAATAGTTTAAAATTAATTCTGTACGCCGCATCACGTCATTATATAATCGTTACAAATACGTGACAAATGTGTAGAATTAATACATGCTAAACAATTCTAAATACTAGAAACACTCCCTATTTGACGAACATTCTTCATCTATCACTTATTGCAAAATGCGTAATGCGGGAACGCATTATATCTGCACTCACAGCGTTATTCTTTTCTATGTTTATGCACATTTGCGCGTTCTTAACTGTACTCGTGTATTATATGAGGAAAACTCGCGGATCGTCGATCCGATTGCATTCTGAAACGAACTTTGCGATCGTCTTTTTCTATAATGTCTTATAGCTCGTCAGTTCTAGACTTGCGCTCATTGCCCTTACGATCGTAGCCCTTGAGCTCATCAGTGGCATGTTTGGCAATGTAGTTGACGAAATCGTCGAGCAGGCGACCGCCTTCATATTTGACCGGGCTGTCCTTGTCATCTTTGGGCACCCAGAAGAGGGTAGGAAAACCACGTACCTCGTACGGAGCTGGCACGTCGTTTGCCGTCGCGTCAAACTTGACAATCTCGACATCCTCGTCCGCCAGCTTTTCGCCCAACTCGTCAAATATTGGCGCCAATTTCTTGCAGTGGCCACACCAGGGCGCGTAAAATTCAATCAGCGTATCTTTACCGTTGTTGGTGACTACATCATCGAAGTTTTTGGCCACCGCGACTTTTACGTTGCCCGTATTGCTCTCCGGGATCGGTTCGGATTTGAGATACGGCTCCAGAGCGCCGGCCTGCAGATCCTTCAGGAACACTTCGAACGTCTCCACTGAGAACTCGTCCTGAAGAACGAATTTTTGGTTTTTGGCATCTCGCGCTAGAACAACCGGCTTATCGCCTTTCGCGTAGTCGATGCCAAAGTCGTTCAACTCGTGCTGGAAGTCATCCTTGGAAGCTATGGCGAAGGAGTATTCGGGGAAGTCCTTGGCGACTTTGATGATTCGGTTGCGCCAATAGTTTGTGCCTTTGCCGTTCTTCACGTAATCCACGTTGTAATAGGCAACCACTAGAGGATTTTTGAAATCCTGTGCGTTGTCGCGAGTGCGTACGCCAGCGATACCATAGCTGTAACAAAGTTGGTATTACAAGGTGAGTTCAAGATCATGAAACTTTGATAAAAAGACGATACTCACTAGTTCTTGGTGACAAAGTCGTTTACATCACTAATAGAGTCGCCACCCTCGTATATTATACTTTTATCTTCGAACTTGTTGTGGAGTATCTTTGGTCGATATAGAACAATAGTGTTTCTGAAACACAAAATATTCTAGTTAATGTATATTTGAAACAAGTTATTCTCTTTGTACACAAACAGGCACATAGAGAAATTTTATACTCTTTTATATCTTTTATAATCACACATACTTGTGGGACACTTTGTCCAAAACCTCTTTTGTCGATGTGTGAGCGAATCTGACTTTTTCTCTGAGCTTCTTGGCAACAGTATGGAATACTGCGGCCAATGGAGAATCATCCTTTTCGAAGTAACCTATCACACTGACTTCGTCAGCCTCTAGGAACGTCTTGTGGGCCTTTTCACTAGTCAATTCTGTAGATGCTGGTCCCACTTGAGACTGAAACAAATATAGCCATGACACATAGAGAAATTGTGCTACTGGATCTGAGAAATGTAATGAAAATATCATAAAATATTACCTTCATGTACTTAACAATACCGGATGCTTCTCTGGGACCATTATAATCAGACCTGACCTCGTTACGTTCAAAAATCTTGAGAGTTGGATAACCACTGACAGAAAACTTGTTGCAAGTTCCCTTTCCGCCTTCTGTACAATCCACCTTAGCGAGAGTGATCTGTGGCTCGTTGCCTATGAGCAACTCTGCTGCTTTGGCAAAGTCTGGCTTCAAGCGTTTACAATGCCCGCACCTGATAACAAAATAAATATTCTATCAATTGTCTCTTTATAATTACATAATGATGAATTAAAGAGGCATAAAACCATTAATTAGCTTATTGATTTGGACTTTTATGAAAACAAATTTATACAACTATAGATATTTGTTGCCATGATTATCTTATATAAATCCGAGATTTAAATAAATATAAGGACTACAGTTTTCTAAACAAAATAAATAAATAAATACTTTTTTAAGCTATATTTTTTATGCTACCTGCATTTAAATCAAAACAAATTCAGATAATATAAGCATGTTCCTTCTAGATTTTGCTTTTTATAAATGAATCTATCAAAATAATTATGTACTCATTAGAGAGGAAAAAAAGCAGGAAAGAAAAATTAAATAAATTAGAAAAAAAGAAGAGAAGAAAAAAAGAGATTAAAAAAGCAGGTTATATGCTGCAACTTTTTTTATCAGATATCGAAAGGAGATTAAAAGTCGCATTTGGCAAATTTTAAATTGCTCGAGAAAATTGGAATGCAGATTTGATAATCTGAAACGTCATCAAATCTACTGAAAAATATCATATGCCGGCATTCGATGACGTCGACAGCTCGGCGCGATTTTCGGCTCTAAAAAGATATCTCTCTTCGCCCTAATAGATAAAAAACCTAACTCCTTCGCTCTCTCTCTCTTTTTCGCCAGCACGTTAACATAAAATACAAGTAAATTCCATTACGATAGATAAAGAACTTTCCAGGCATCCGGCGATTAAAGACTGTGCTTTCTACTTGCATTTTTAGCAATTTTTTACAAAATTTTTTCTCTCTATCTTTCTATCAATATTCATTTTATTTTATATGCAGAATTTCAAGCAACTATTGACAGATAGAAAAGTGTAAAATCGCGCGATTAGAGGAGAAGACAAGCCTGACGAGAGAGAAATGTTCTCACCATGGTGCGTAAAACATGACGAGTGTGTTCTCGTGGCGCTCGAGCTCGCTCTCGAAGGTCTCGTCGGTGAGCTCCAGGACATCCTTCTCGTCGGCGTAGACGCCGAAGAGTAGCAGCGGCAAAATAGTGAGACACTTTAACAGCATCTTCGCGGCAACGAGCTTGTGATCTTGTGCGGGTCGTAAGTAAACTCAGTCTCTATCAGACAGTCCGTTTCGTCGATCGCAGACGTGGCTCTTTCACGGCCAGCGGTTAAAGAGACGCGGCCCGCGAAGTGCTGTCGCTTGCCGATTGGCTGGCCGGTCTCCCATTCGCGTGCTCGCGTCTACCCGGTGTCCGGAAAGCAAGCGCGCCGTCTCGCATCTCCGAATGTCTTTATCTGCGAGAGATTCTCTCGCGATGAAATTTTGGATAATCGATATTAATACGCGTATTCGGATTCGAAGCTTGATTTCGATCGTGAATAGAAATCTATATTAAATTGGATTGATTCGAGATGAATTTTTTGCTTCTTAAGAGGATGCCGGACCGTCCTGTTTTACCGGCCATAATAATTATATATTTGCTTAATATAAGGGTTTTGCGGTGTGTACGTGCAAAATAGGATACCTCTCCACTCGGAAATGCATGAAGGAATATAAGTAAACGTTTGAAAATGTATTTGAAAGCCTAATAAGAAACATTTCGGTGTGCAAAATGTTGCATAGTAAAATCTTTTTTAAAAAGCTTCTAAACTCACTTTCTCGAAGTTCACTAATACTCTTTGATAAAATGCCGAGTGCGGAGTTCACTTGTTAGGCACGTGCAAGTTGCAGGTTTTTTATATTAAGTAAATGTTGACGGCAGAAGCCGATAACAAAACTGTAATTTTTAAATTTTTTTTCACTTTTCATATGAAATCATAAACCCCGCACTCCGTTATTATGTATACTTTAATTATGGAAAAGGATTTGTTGATATCTATAAACAACAAAAATATTTTGCATTTTAACTAATATTCGTATTCTATCCGGCATCCTCTTAATTCTGATAATCCGATTAAAATTGTATCTTTTTTTATTATTACATGAAACAAATCAATTATAGAGCACATACACATTTATAATTTTGTTTGTCTGTCTGTCTAGTGTCATATTTTTCTTTGTTCTCGTATTTGTCAAAACATCGCAAGAGAAAGATTGCGTGCGAGGGAGAAAACTATATATATACATTGCCCTATATATGTATAGTTAAGGGATGAAGCGTCGCGACATTTGGCGCCACTTTGGCACTTTGCGACCTAAATAATAACAACCCCAACATAACATCGGTCGACGCGTATAACAGTCCATTTACACACACACACACACACACACACACACACACACACACACACACACACACACACACACACACACACACACACACACACACACACACACACACACACACACACACACACACACACACACACACACACACACACACACACACACACACACACACACACACACACACACACACACACACACACACACACACACACACACACACACACACACACACACACACACACACACACACACACACACACACACACACACACACACACACACACACACACACACACACACACACACACACACACACACACACACACACACACACACACACACACACACACACACACACACACACACACACACACACACACACACACACACACACACACACACACACACACACACACACACACACACACACACACACACACACACACACACACACACACACACACACACACACACACACACACACACACACACACACACACACACACACACACACACACACACACACACACACACACACACACACACACACACACACACACACACACACACACACACACACACACACACACACACACACACACACACACACACACACACACACACACACACACACACACACACACACACACACACACACACACACACACACACACACACACACACACACACACACACACACACACACACACACACACACACACACACACACACACACACACACACACACACACACACACACACACACACACACACACACACACACACACACACACACACACACACACACACACACACACACACACACACACACACACACACACACACACACACACACACACACACACACACACACACACACACACACACACACACACACACACACACACACACACACACACACACACACACACACACACACACACACACACACACACACACACACACACACACACACACACACACACACACACACACACACACACACACACACACACACACACACACACACACACACACACACACACACACACACACACACACACACACACACACACACACACACACACACACACACACACACACACACACACACACACACACACACACACACACACACACACACACACACACACACACACACACACACACACACACACACACACACACACACACACACACACACACACACACACACACACACACACACACACACACACACACACACACACACACACACACACACACACACACACACACACACACACACACACACACACACACACACACACACACACACACACACACACACACACACACACACACACACACACACACACACACACACACACACACACACACACACACACACACACACACACACACACACACACACACACACACACACACACACACACACACACACACACACACACACACACACACACACACACACACACACACACACACACACACACACACACACACACACACACACACACACACACACACACACACACACACACACACACACACACACACACACACACACACACACACACACACACACACACACACACACACACACACACACACACACACACACACACACACACACACACACACACACACACACACACACACACACACACACACACACACACACACACACACACACACACACACACACACACACACACACACACACACACACACACACACACACACACACACACACACACACACACACACACACACACACACACACACACACACACACACACACACACACACACACACACACACACACACACACACACACACACACACACACACACACACACACACACACACACACACACACACACACACACACACACACACACACACACACACACACACACACACACACACACACACACACACACACACACACACACACACACACACACACACACACACACACACACACACACACACACACACACACACACACACACACACACACACACACACACACACACACACACACACACACACACACACACACACACACACACACACACACACACACACACACACACACACACACACACACACACACACACACACACACACACACACACACACACACACACACACACACACACACACACACACACACACACACACACACACACACACACACACACACACACACACACACACACACACACACACACACACACACACACACACACACACACACACACACACACACACACACACACACACACACACACACACACACACACACACACACACACACACACACACACACACACACACACACACACACACACACACACACACACACACACACACACACACACACACACACACACACACACACACACACACACACACACACACACACACACACACACACACACACACACACACACACACACACACACACACACACACACACACACACACACACACACACACACACACACACACACACACACACACACACACACACACACACACACACACACACACACACACACACACACACACACACACACACACACACACACACACACACACACACACACACACACACACACACACACACACACACACACACACACACACACACACACACACACACACACACACACACACACACACACACACACACACACACACACACACACACACACACACACACACACACACACACACACACACACACACACACACACACACACACACACACACACACACACACACACACACACACACACACACACACACACACACACACACACACACACACACACACACACACACACACACACACACACACACACACACACACACACACACACACACACACACACACACACACACACACACACACACACACACACACACACACACACACACACACACACACACACACACACACACACACACACACACACACACACACACACACACACACACACACACACACACACACACACACACACACACACACACACACACACACACACACACACACACACACACACACACACACACACACACACACACACACACACACACACACACACACACACACACACACACACACACACACACACACACACACACACACACACACACACACACACACACACACACACACACACACACACACACACACACACACACACACACACACACACACACACACACACACACACACACACACACACACACACACACACACACACACACACACACACACACACACACACACACACACACACACACACACACACACACACACACACACACACACACACACACACACACACACACACACACACACACACACACACACACACACACACACACACACACACACACACACACACACACACACACACACACACACACACACACACACACACACACACACACACACACACACACACACACACACACACACACACACACACACACACACACACACACACACACACACACACACACACACACACACACACACACACACACACACACACACACACACACACACACACACACACACACACACACACACACACACACACACACACACACACACACACACACACACACACACACACACACACACACACACACACACACACACACACACACACACACACACACACACACACACACACACACACACACACACACACACACACACACACACACACACACACACACACACACACACACACACACACACACACACACACACACACACACACACACACACACACACACACACACACACACACACACACACACACACACACACACACACACACACACACACACACACACACACACACACACACACACACACACACACACACACACACACACACACACACACACACACACACACACACACACACACACACACACACA